CTATGTAAACAATGTAAACACGCCGGACCCGTTTCTATTCAATATTGATTCTTCAATATAATGTCCGAGTTATTTATCTTAAAAGTAGTATTAAAATGCGGAAAGAGCGATCAATGGCTATGTAAACACGCCGGACCCGTTTCTATTCAATATTGATTCTTCAATATAATGTCCGAGTTATTTATCTTAAAAGTAGTATAGTCGAATTTAAAATGCGGCAGATTTTTAAACAGGCGAGATTCAAAACATAAAATCGTACATATACTTTTATCAATTTTATTAAGATTCTCAAATATTATCATTTTTTTTTCAAAATAAACGCTCCATTCAATGCTTGTGCTTTGCAGAATGATTCTTGCGCGAATGATGAGTAGACGAAATGGAATTTTGCCTCGAAGGGAACTCTTTGAAATTACGATACAAGTTTCGCAATGTCGTAAGATGTAAGATAATCGCACGCGCCCCGAAGACGAAGGGGGGTTGAAATTTATCTCTGCTTTGTTCGCGGTAATTTATCATGCGTTCGCGAACGCGCAATTTATCGCGTTAAATTAACAGCGCGACGTATTCTCTCCTGCGATGCAATCGCTTTCCATTTCTTCTCCGACATAAAATAAAACGCGCGCTCGCTTGACGAAGTACTAAGGATGATTGTGGAATCCGAAGAGGATCCTCTTTTATCTTCTTTTGATACTACGCCAAATAAGCACGACCGTACCTCACAAGAAAAAGAGAGAAAACCTTATACGGGGAATGGTGTGACGCGGCGAAGTCATTACTTGGATAGACGCTTGGTTTACCGCTGTTTAATGTTCATTCCAGTAATTATATCTGCTTTAATTTACGACAATCACACGAGAGAACGGCACATTAAATAAAATATAGAAAAAAAAATTGATTTTGTATGAACCGCATATTGGCTAACAAAACTAATTTAAACCGCAAATTGTAACTTGCAATTAAAGATTACAAATTGTGAGAAAAATGGTAATCTAGAATTAATTTCGGATTTCTTACTCAAATTCCTTTATCTCACGTAATGAAGTCACATGCTAGATAAAGATTAACGTGCATAGTTTATTGTTCCGGGAATATACACGTGATAAAAAAAGAGAAAATTATGGTCCCCTTTCTGTCCCATTTTATTATAATAAAATCTCTTTGTGCCCTAATCATCTTTTGACGAGACTAATTCGCGCGTTTATTATCTCTCTCTCTCTCTCTTTTCTCTTTCATTCATTCTCTCTCTCTCTCTCTCTCTCTCTCCCTCTTTCTCTCTCTTGCTCGCTCGCTCGCGCACGCATGTACGCATGCAATTTCACGTGCTTTGAATTATGCACGATGCTCGAAATTATTCACCCCGGGGTGACAGCGTTAATTCGAACTTTATGCGACGCAAAGTCGAGATGAGAGCAAAAGAGCAAACCCTGACACCTGACGTTTGAAGAACGGCGAGTATCTCGAGGCTGACATCGAGATGAGAAGCATCTCGATAAAAATGGAGAAAACCAAAAATAACGTTTTGTGTCCATGCGAATTTGATTATAGCGATGCATTTCAAACTCTTTGCTTTCACCGAAGATGAATGCAAATATTGCATTTATATTTTACGCGTGTCTCATCGCAAGATCTAAATTAAAGAGTACGAGACAACATTGATTTTTTGAAGAAAATGTAGTGTTTCTTATATAGAAGATAATATGACTATTTATCAAATTTTATTAAATAGCACAAGAATAAAAATTTACTGCACAAAAAGCAAAAAAGTTTAAAGAAAACCATATAATATCTTTCGCAACACGTTCAGTTATATGACATTTAAAAAATTTTTAAATAAAAAAAGCCGTTATTTAACAATTATTTTCATTATTTCCCAAAATTAGACATTTTTTTAATCTTCAAAAAGCCGATCGCATTTATATTTTAAATTTAAAAAATTCTGACGTTAGAAAACTGGAATAATTCATTTGAAAATTCTCTATAAATTGTAATACGTAAACAAATTTAATTAATTCCATTTATAAGAGAAGTTTTAGAATTATGAAAGAAGATAGAGAAAAGAATTGTATTATATATTCGCGAAAATAACAAAACTAAAGTAAAATAAACTCACTTTCATTTTTCTATTACCTAAATGTAGTCTCGTAGTAAAAGTTAATTTTGGAATGATGAAATACAAGGTCCAATATTAGACCAGGAATCCATAGAGCGGTAAGAATTCAATGTATTCGTCGAAGCTGGCTGGCACAGATTGCTAAACATTCAAGTAAGAAAAAAATATGCGAGATCTATAAATAACCGCCAATTGCCCATAGAAACGTGCCCGATCGCCCTCGTAAACCAAGTCACGTGACAGAGATACATTACGAGAAAAGAAAGATCATTCTCCGATATTGCATTAATCTCCGCAAAGTGGCAGAAAATTTATAAACAAATTTCTGCTCCTTCGATCATCAACGATCTCTTTGCTCCATTCCTACGCGGTTTCCGAAGATGCAAATAAAGAGGATGCACGTACGAGAGAGATAGTCTTTCCTTTCCTTCCTTCTCGCGCTCTCCAAGAGCTCGGCAAAAATACTCAGCCGACGATGCACGTGCACCATTTCCAGATACCGTAAATCGATTCTCACGACTACCGAAAACTCGACGAGTGCACTCTCACTTCCCGCTTGTCGACTCACATGTGCAAGTAGCGATCGTTCGCCTATCTTCCGTATTCTTAGACGCCATCTCCACCATCTTTTCTCTCAGAAGGGTGAGAAAGAGTCTCAAAGGCAACCCGTGACAGGCTCTTCAAATCGCTCGCGACTGCATCTGCTACTGATCATTGTGACATGCAAACTCGAAATATCGCCACCGCAGATTTGCACAAAAATGAATGGCACAGCAGGTTTAAATTTCGAAGCTCTAGTTATTCCTAACATTTTTATCCCCTTTTGAATTATACAGAACAGAGAATTTCTAATATTCTATTGTTTTTAAATCATATATTAAAGTGTTGTATAGTTTTTATTATAATAAAATGTTTTAATTTTTTAAATTTATACGTATATATATTTGTAAAAAGAGTATATGTTGAGAAAAAAGATCATTTTTTTAATATAAATAATATCACGCTTATGTGTTATTTAAAATTAATATGTTATTTTTGTTCAAAATAAAATATATTACATCAAATTAATTTTTTGAATAACAACTTATATTCCAAGCACTATTATCTCAATACCAACAGTAAGCATAAAAAATATCATCAGATGTATGTATCTGTGAAAGAGAACATACAAATATATAATTTCTCTCTATTATAAATATATTAAATATCATATGTATAATCTTTCTTTTTTTACAGTGAGAGTGATTTATTTATAGAATTAATGCAATATGTTTCATATTCAATGAAAAACAGAACAACTAGTTAAAAGCTAGTTTAGAACAACTTGTTAAAAGACTACTATGTCTCAGCATAAGCTTTTACACGTCACACAGGCAAATAACGCACACTAGAAGCACTTGCAATAAAGAAGATGAGATCTTCGCTATAACGATAGAGCGCCAGGTGATTTCTCACATGAATCGCGACACATCAGCATAAATCATAATCACAATCATAAGTTGACTCACCGTGCATGTAGGAAGGCAAAGGCCGATGACGTACAGCATCGGGCTCGTAATAGTGGATTCGTGATACGGATGATAGAGTGACTCATCGTTGCAAAAAAAGCCGCGTTTGTATGGTTTGCCAAATAGGTAAAACATCAGCACCGCGATACCCACTGAAACACAGATGCAGAGAAAAACAATCTCGTTATACCTTTGATCGCTTTTATTACCGTTCAATAATAAATGTGCATATCATCGCCCGAGCCACGTGACGATTGATTAATCAGGATTAAACATCGTGAACTCAACGTTGACATGCGTTTTGTTGCACTTCTTGTAGTACATAACCGCCGCTATCATAAGACAAACGATAATATCGTGACTCTACCAATCAAGAGAGGTGGCATGCTTTCGACATCTAAATAATTTTCAATATACGTTCTATATAATCTTTTGAATCGTCGAATGCTTCTGATTACATTGTACGCTTCTGTATACAGAGTGCGTCTCGGATCTATTACTCTTTCCTTTTTATATTTTTCATTTACAAGAGAAAACTTGGAATGGATTTTATTTAAATAATTATTATTTGTGTAGGACAACTTTTTAATTCAGAACATTGTCCATTTTTAAAATTATATAAATCTCGAATGAAATGTCTATTGACATAATACTATTTTGATAAAATTTGTACTGAAAAATCACTTTGTTGTTTTTCCTATTTCTTTCTTTCTTAGTTTATTGCTTAGTATGTTTAATTAATTAAGGCAGAGACATCTCATACTATATTTATTTGCATTTTAAATGCTTGACTATATTTTAATCATAAAATATCTTAATATAAAATATTGTGACAATTTGTAAGATCATATTATGATTTTACAAATTACCACAACACGATGATTATTTAAAAATCTATAAGATTAAAAATATAATTGCATTTAATTTTATACGAGTGACACGCACAGGACGTGCATAGCAACCACATAAAATTGCTTTGGTCTCTACTTATAAACTATAATTATTATAATTGCCTCGTTATACAGATAATTTCAGCTGTTTGCAGGGAAAAAAAGGGGGGGAAATGGCACTCTTGTATACATATTTCAATTCTATGACGATACTTGATGTAAAAAACTTTATCAGTACTAAAGTCACGTACATCGTTTAATTATCGTATTTTCCATCAATAATCTTTCTAATTTTCAAGAACGCAAAAAGTACTCGCATCTATCGTCAACGCATATATTAACGGCGGTTTTACGGAAAATCGTTGGAAAATTATGGACAACCTGTCAGCCTGTGAATTTATTTACCCATGTTATTTACCACTATGTGCAAATCATGCCCAGACGATCGTTGAGATAATTATTGTGACACCGCTTTCAGCAGAAGGAAAGTGTGTAATACATGTACAAACGTTGACAGCAACTAAAATAATAGTTTTCGCGATCGATGATATTTATGTAGCCCGCCAATTGCGTGTTTTGCAAGCCAAATTGCGCCACCGAAAAATTCAAATGCGATTACGATCTGAAAAAAATGCCGACGCTAATTTCACATCGTGTCTCTCTTTTTTTAATATATATTATAAACCAAATTTAAAATTTCGCGAATTATTTATCGTTTAAAAAACAACAGTATATTTGAAACAGAAACTTATCGATTTTATCGTATTATACATATTTTAAATTGCAAGATTGCATAGTATTTATCTTATCGTTAGCGATAAGTTATCGCTGAAAATTAGTCGGAAAAAAAAAAAATTCGAAAAGATGGCTTTTAGACTAAGACACGTTTCAATAAAGTCCTCATAATAATTTATAACAGTTATGAGACTAATAATCGTACCTTTACGATTTTACTACCATAATTACACTTTCACACTATGTCGCAAAGTGTTTATATCTTGCAAGTACTATGTATATAAAAATTATAGACGGTACGTTCCTACGGTAATATCCTTCGCGAAATGATATAAACAGGTATTTTCAGGAAACATTATAATAAACTTTACGATGTGGTTATTAACCGTCCCATCGCTTTCGGCTCTCTTCTTCTCTCTCCTGCTGTAGATAATCCATCGGCTTCATGGAAATAATTGATAATTTTTTTTGGACATAAACGCGATATGCAATACCGAATAAGGTTATGGTAATAGCATTTCATTAATCCATCAATACCGTTTAGTGATTTCTTTGAATCTGAGGGTCAAGTGTGAAACGAAGCGTAAAGAGACTTTATTTATGACTCATTGCTTTATACATTTGTATTACGTAATAAAAGGAAATGACATTATCATTATGCTGTGTGTCGAGCTTAACATCGTTCGTGATATAACAGAAAAGGACCAAGGACGATTTGCTTGGCAAATAATAATATAAAAAATAAGCAAACATATATAACATTACCCTTATAAAATATTAAATAAATATTAATATTAATAAATTAAAATTATTTCTTAAGAAACACAAAACGTTTTCTTGCATTCTGATAAACAATTACGACGAGTATCTTCGCATGTAAGATATCGATTCAAATGTGACCATGTCAGACATAGTAACATTGCATAATTGATATCGTATACAATGCACATATGCACATTTTTCACGATGGCAGACGTAGAAAGTGATTGCATTATCGCTCTATTGGCGAAACATGCCAATTTAGACACGCCTTGACACCCATTTGTTGTATAGGCGTTCGTATTTAGTCAGCATAACAAATTTATACATTACTACATACCGATGATTCAACGCGAAATCGATACTTTTTGAGAATAAAGTAACCTATATTATTCGATTAAATTCTTTCATAAAGTATCGTTATCCTTTTTTTAATTCTCAACAGAGATAAAACATTTAAAATATTTTTTAAGCGTTTATTCGAGATTTTGTAACGAGCGATTAAAGTGTCTAGTGACTTCTGCACAATATTTTCATTATTAATGGACCTAACTGATTTCATTATGTAACAGTTACATCATGTTTCCTCTGCTTGATTTACGATAATGTGTGTATATTTTTAATTTTAACAAGAGTTCGAACGTTTTTATATTTATTCCACGAGAGAGAGGAACACTTCTCTCGAAATATAAACCTGGTTTTCTCTCCTCCTCCTCGAATATGCAAATGTAAAAGTGCCCGCGGCTAGACCGCTGAAATAGAGGTCTAAAAACCGTTGTATCCTTGGAAGAAATATTTTAGCAATATTGAAATTGAAATCTTTCAATCTCAGAATATATTTCTTATCGTTGAATATTATTGATCAAAAATTGCCGCAAATTTAAATGCTATTGCAGATTAAGCAACTTGTATAATATTTAAATTTAAGCTAAAATATGCGAAGGTAAATCTATCAGCTTATTCATTTCAATGTTTTTTAAAGAAATAAATTCTCTATACGTTAAATTTATCTATTTTAATAAATTAACACTTTTTAAATATCAATAAAAAATATTTTTTAAAAAGGTCACAAAAGTTTTTCTCACACAGAGATACAATTAATTTATAAAGATAATAGCAAGAATATATATAACGTGATAGAGAAACAGAAAGAGAGAGAGAGAGAGAGAGAGAGAGAGAGAGAGAGAGAGAGAGGCTATAATTATTAAACGTTATAGTGTAATGAAATTCGAGGAGTAAAGATATTTCAACTTTCCTTTTAATTTGCATTCGGTTTATTGGTGTCGCGGTAATACAAAATATTAAAAAAAAAATCATATTTATACGAAAATATTCGGTCTTTCGTGGAAAGAAATTTTTATTGCGAAATAAAGTATTTGTGATAAAAACACTTTAACGCAACATAATTTATTAGTCATCGCATATTGCCACTTTGTTGGATAAGACGATGTGTCCTTCGTTATTTTTATGCCGGTTTCTATAATAAAGGTAAAAAAATTATGTGCGCTGTTTCTTATCCTTATCCAAATTGCTTTTAAATATTATAATTGCAAAACTAGTTTGTCCGACATTTAAATAAGTATACGAAAGGTTTGTTTGTAAAATAAATTTTGTACGTTCGAAGTCATCGATGAGAAAACCAAATGTATACGCAAGCAAATTATTGAATTTTTTAAATTACATCAATGTATAAAAATAACAAAACTGCAAAAATTATAAAAAATGCACAATATGACATAAGCAGAATTTATTTAAAAGAGACAAATCCCAGAGTAACGTTTTATTGTATACGGCGTTCGCTGTATCCCTTTAACCGGTATTGATGTATTCTTAACGAGAATGTGTCACATGTATTAATTTACGACGTCAAATAATAGACTTTTCATCCATGATTTATCTTTGCACGCTTAATAAAAATTATCATCATTGTTATCATCTCTACCATTATCATACAAATCGGCAAAAATGATAACGACGAAAAATAATTGTTGGGTAAACTTCGATAATCAAGAACGAAGTTTCTTAATTTGAGAGACTTATTTCAATATAATACGCGCTATATATCATACAGGCAATCACCTGCATAAATTTGCCGACAAATAAAATTGCGATTCGTGTATAAGAAGAGAGATGCTGCGAAATACAAACACCATAAATCTTCGGACGATCAACGCGAGAAACGAAAAAGATAGAGATAGTGCACGTGCGTGTTCGAAATTATGCCGAAAAGATTATTAATTCCACGCGCGAGCGCACGAGCAGTAGATAATTAAAACGATATACTCTATCGAGAGAAGTGATAGCGGGAGAGGAAGGGCATTTAATTTAATAGACTTATGTATATTCATCAGGACCGAACAGGTTTGTCTTATAATCGGCACTTATCTTCTCTGAATGGGCTCGATGCGTACTTATGGAACGAACTAGTCCCGCAAGTTCGCAGACCTTTCTACAGCCTCTTCTTTTCGGGACCGTCTTAACGAGCTTTGAAAGGGCCCGATTACTGATTGTGAGCCGGACGCACGAAAAATGGTCGCGTTTCGCGTAATACGTCGCGCCCAGACAATAAAATAATTACCAAATTGATTTTAAACAGACCTGACTGCACGTTGTATGCGTATATATATATATATATATATGTGTGTGTGTGTGTCTGTCTGGCGTAAAAGAATTTATTAATATCGCTATAGTCTGCCTGAGTGCATGGCCAAGGTCTTCTCATCGCGAACAAACCGCGACCATCAATCGAGCTAGATCGCTTACCGCACGTTTATTTTTACCTATACGTATGCGTGAGATCTGTGGTTTTCGTGACTGCTTTCGTGATTTCTCCCCGCAAAAACACGTCACGAGAGTGTAGCTTAATTAGACCGTCTAATTTGATATATGCAATCCCGCAGTCTAAATGGCATTATATTACATTTAACAATTAAATTGTTATTTCCACCTGAAGTTCTCAACTTCCTTATATGATACATTTGTGACATCGCGACCCTCTTTTCGTTTTCATATATTATATATTTAAGTGCAACTATAAAAACAAAAAAGAAAAGAGTTTTTTTTTTCTCTTGTGACCCTCGTAGTAATGCATAAAAATTATAATCATTACGATGTATGTACTTGAGTATTATATACCTATATTTCTTTTTTTCAAAATATATTATAAATTGCATCAGTATTATCCATTATAATAAATGTCAAAACTCTGAAATGACTGACTTTAAGAAAATATAAAATGGGTTTCAAAAAAAAAAAGTAAATCTAGTTATAGAATATTTATCATTTCTGATAAAGAAAGACTTTCGACATCAATTTTTTTTTTTTCAATTTTAATGATTCGAGTAATAGTTAAAGACTGGATTCGAGTAATAGTTAAAGACTGGAATATCTCGACATTTATGGTAGTTACGTGTTTATGAAGACGTAAAAAGATAGCGGTTTAATAAGTAAGTAGGTCTCATGGAACAACAAAAAAATGTAATTGCGTCCCCGTATACAGAAATAGTATAACAAGTTGTTAACACGCCTGTTTCAGAAACATAAATTATGTAAGCGGAAATGTAAAAAAAGTTTCCTTCTGATACGTTTACAATGAAATTACATTTCGTTATATTTTTGCGAAACAATCTGCGGTTTCGCACAATTTCCTCACTGGTGACAATGACGTTCACCAACTTATCCCAACAAAATGTTATCGCTCGATACAATGAAAACCAGATGTAAAAAGAATTATCAAAGAATTATTAATCATTAAAATCATAACGCAAAATCGAAAGATTGCAGTAATGACAAAATCATTTCCGGTTCATTCCTCTTTTTCCTCCCCTCCCTCTTTCTCTATTATTTATTTTTAAATATTATTCTCTCTCTGAGAGATTTTTTAGATAATAAAATATTCTATAAATGACTTTCGTTCCTTCACGATATTTATCTCATTATATTACAAATAAAGTATTAATCAGGTTGACGATTCAAAGATAGAATTTAACGATAAAATATATTTTAGCGTTAGAAGAATTCTTTTCAATCCGTTCGCGAGATAAAGACGCCATATCGTCTGTCCGCATCCTGGAAACTGTGTCACCGTGGTACCGCGAAATGAAATCGATCGAGCTACGCTGATTCCATTGCAGTTGTGTTTACGGTACACAATGTATATTGGCGAAATGTACTACGTTCTCGCGAAACATTGCGCTTTACATCATCCGTCATGCTGCTATTGTGATGAGAATTGACAAGACTAACAGAAAAGTAGAGTATTCCCCTAGCGGAATGTGAAATTGCGCTTATTTAGGTTTAGATTGCATTGGCTCGAGTGTTAACTTATTAGCGCGTTCGAAATGATTTATCTCTTGTTTCTTTTCGTTATCTATGTGTGTTTACTTATACTGCTCTCTATATTTATTAACCTTATTAATCATCCACGTATGATATAAAGAGCTGTATGAATTGTCGTGTCGTGAGAAGAGTAGATATATTGCATGCTAATTCTATTTCCACTAAACAACATCGTAATTTAATCATGTTGAATAAAACAAGAATATCAGAATAAGAAAATATAAGAACATTTTTGCAAATGTCAAGTTTATACAATAGTATTCGGAGAGAGAGAGAGAGAGAGAGAGAGAGAGAAATCTTGAAAACTCCAAAACTTGAAAATTATGTTTATTATTCGACATGAAATGTCTTTATTTATATTTAAATGTATTCATATTCACATCTCTTTAAAACTTTTTTCGGCTCTTCAATTTTTTTATACATCATCTATAAATTCTTGGAAATTTACATAAATATATCATGTTGATTATGTGGTCTTTCGAAACTTTGTATAAATTTCAAATAATTTTAATTATTTTTTAAATATTCAGATATTTAAAAAAGAATCTTGACAGAGATTTATTTTCTCGAGATTGTAACTTGTAGCCTACTAGTATTTGAAAAACTTCCTGCTCCAAGATCTTTAAGCAACATCAAGCAAGTAAAGATTAAGTAACCCATTAAGAATCCTCGCAGTGTAAATTAAGGGGGAAACTCCATTAAAGCCTAAGTGCTACGGTACATTCCGAAGTATGCAAGGGTTAAAATCCCGCGTACTTTCGAAACGACGCAGCACGCGGTTGTGATTCTATCCAGCTTCTCTCTCTCTCTCTCTCTCTTTCTCTTTTTCTTTTTTCTTTTTTCTTTTTTCTCTTCTCGCGAGCGTCTCGTAACATTCAGAGGCGATTGGCGGAAGCTGCAGCCGTTGCGTATCGCGACGCATCGCGTCGCGTCGAGAGAGCGGTGCTTTCGCGTGGACGAAACGCACCTGCCAATTTAGAGATTAATCTCCGCTCTCCCTCTCTGGCGCGGTTAAATATCAAACGAGCCGCGCGCGCGACGGCGTCTTGACTGTCAATCTGACAACTGCCCGACGTATAATGTAATTCATCATCCGCAACGAGGGTTTAAACGATTCCCACAATTCGCGCACCGTGCATTTAAACTTTCGTGATTTTATTTTACTCACCGATAATTACGCAGAGGAAGTCTACGATGAACTTCCGTAAAATCAACTTGGACGATCGATCCATGCTGTCGCGCGCGCTTGTCACAACCTTCAGTCAATGGATGAATCGTTAGATTTTCGGTACGATGTTCAAGTGTCTTGACGGACAGGTTGTAGTCACGGTAATCGATGATACGATGACGACGACGGCGACGCGACTGCAACCTTGGCGGTCAAGTCAGGTACATATGGGCACAAGAACAACGTGGTACGGGATGCAAGTGATACGCGTCATTGACGTTTCACGAGCATTTTACGCGCGTAATGTGGAGCGCGACACTCACCGTCCAACGTTTCAAAGTGGACTGACTTCAAGGCAAGGCGGCTCGACGCGCGCGGCCGCTCCGACTCCCACACTCCCCACTCCTCACCTCCCCACTCTTGCTCTTTCTCTCTAAATGCGAATCCGCCAAGTGCGCGACTACTCTCTAATCGAGATTCCGAGCATTTTACGCGCGTAATGTGGAGCGCGACACTCACCGTCCAACGTTTCAAAGTGGACTGACTTCAAGGCAAGGCGGCTCGACGCGCGCGGCCGCTCCGACTCCCACACTCCCCACTCCTCACCTCCCCACTAGCCATTCTCCCCACTCTCGCTCTTTCTCTCTAAATGCGAATCCGCCAAGTGCGCGACTACTCTCTAATCGAGATTCGGTCAATGACTGATTCTGCGACTGCGCGCGATAGAGACGTGCGTTATGCACGTGTTCCGATCGCTACGCGCACATGCGAATGACGGCACGTGACGCACGAAAATGGAGCAACCCCATCGTGCCGGCGGGATGATCGCTGAAAAATGGCACTCGAAACATCTTGCATGAATATTCGGCAAATTTTATGCAACACATTCATGAATATAAACCAATTTCATTAGATAGAAAATGTTAATCATGAATCGTAACGACAAATAATTAGAGTATTTCGACTGCGCTTTTTTACGATTTTATCGTGTCTACAAAATTATATATAGTTTAAATTTTGAAAAAGTAAAGAAAGGAGAAATAAAATACAGTATTAACTTAATAGGAATATGTATATAAAATATTAAAGAGATAAATCCCTTCCATTATCCTACTCTATTATATTGCAACTCAATCTTCTGAATATATATCTCTTATCTTTGACAAGCTTAACAAATATTGAATAACATTTTATTGAATGACACTGCGAAAAATTGCTTAATTTTCTATAATTATGTTATTATTTATATAATTTATGTTTTTTTCCTAAAATTTATTTCGTGAATAGTAATAATAATAATCATTAAATATGAGCTTGCTTTTAAACAAAACAAATCATTTTCGCATTGCGTCAGAAGTGACGGCAAAATTGCAAATAATACGCACGTGTCTCTATTCGCATCACATTTGATTACGATTTATAAAGCGAAATTGCGCAGCAATTATATAATAGCCTTCATTTGTTCATTTTGATAAAGCGTTATAAATTTCGCGTTCGTGTTTAGTACAAAATAGAACATGATTGTTTATTTACTATTACTGTATTACTATTATCCTATTGGAGAGTATCTTTATTAAATAACAAGGAGATCGATTGTTATATATATATATAACAATTGATCTCCTTGTTATTTATTCTCCTTGTTATATATATAACAATTGATCTTCTTGTTATTTAATAAAGATGCTCTTCAATAGGATTGCCTTGATACATAGGAGATATTTTTTGCAAAATAAAATAAGATTAAGATATGGGAACAAAGGCAAATATTTTCGATATTTTCGATAGGGTAGCTTGATGTTATCCATTACGCTATTTCTATCTATATCCTCTCATGAATATTTGCGGAGAAAACACATTAAATCTTTATGGTAATCATTTCAAGACACTCGTATAAAGCATAGTAATAAATCTGAAAAACTAGTGAATATATTAATAATCCACAAACTAAGGTTATAAATATAGCATCTTAATTATATAATTTATATAAAATATTTTTTTTAGCTGATTAAGAATTGTAAATTTTTTTTGAGCAAATATATATATATATATATATATATATATATGTGTACAATGCATTTAATTCAAATATAATTATTTTACCTAGAGATAAATTAAAAAACACATAACGATACAAATAAAAGATATCTAATTCATTAAAGAATGTGTCTAAATATTAAATAATTAGTGATATAAGCGAGTGAGCACGTAATATATTGTATTGATATCTTGATATCTTCTTATCTTTTAAGTAACGAGATCAAGAAGTGTTTCAAAACAAGTAGCATTTGTCTGGATTTACACGTTGATTGCGATCGTTCTAATTACCTAACATAATACACATTTCTACTAAACATCCAAAACACAAGGAGATAACAGGAATACATTTTTATTTCGGTAATAAAGTCTTCGGAAATTACGAAGTGGTCTTTTCCCGTATCATGAATAAAGAAAGATTATCGAAATTGAAACAATACTGTCAGTAAAAAATACAAAAATTGGTTAATGTTCCCTCGATTTACATGTATGATAGAAAAGTTTTAGAAAATTTCACAAATTATGTTCCATAATTGATTAAATAATTATGTAACGAATATATAAAAAAAAAAGAGAGAGAGAAAAGAAAATAACGCAAGATAGAATTGAAATTTCTAATGAAGCTAATGTATTAATTTCGAAGCACCTGTCTTACGCAAGATACAAGCCGCGTCTCTGACACATAGAACTAGAATAGCGTGAAATAGTATCACGTTTACGATCAGTTGATAGCGGTGAGGCCACAGTTCCACCAGTCAGAACACCGATAATATCGCTCTGCACACCGGTTTCACATCAAGAGAGAAGCCAAACAAAAGTTCTTATCGCGCTGTTTCAACTCCACTAGCAGTACCACCCGCGGTGCATTCCGCATACGTTCATGTCACGGAGGCGTTCACGCGTGAATGTAACGTCACGTAAAGTAACATATGCATATTTAACACCTGCTTACCTGCTCGCACGCGTAGTGAGGCGTAAGCGAGTCAGCAAGAAACCTCTAAATCGAATAATCGCGCTTACACATTTAAATCGGGGATCATTAATTTCATAACCGATATATTTACAATTTTTCGCTTCTGACATCACAATTTGCGATATAGCTCCAATGATGTTAACATAATATAGTAGAAGTCTTATAAATATCTCAACCATTCACTTGGGATAGTAGGATATAATAATTAAGGATGCGATATAGAAAATAAGAATGTTGAAGAGAAAAAAAGAATTTTAGTTTACGAATCTATGATATTTACACAAGATCGGCGTATAACGTGACATCGCGCGTATTGTATTTTACCACAAGGCGATTACATAATTACACGAATGTACATTGTAGCATACAGCACGAAGTCGTAATACTTCGTGTGTGTTCGCCTATTATTCCCTAAAACGCTTCCTGATCGTCGGCGACTGTTATTGCTAGCTAACGGTATAATAGCGGCGCAAGAGATCTCTCTCGAATTGTATACATATAGCACAAAAGAGAGAGAGAAAGAACTATCATCCGATCGGAATTTCCAATTAATCAGTTTCTGTACAGGAAACTGTTCCTTCGGACTATTAAAAATTATCTTTCTTAGAATCGATTCGCCCCATGCAATGAAACAGACGATTTTTTTTCTTTCTTTGTCAAATTAAGATCGTGTTCTTCAGTTGCATTTTATGCTCGAAATTGATTTTTCGCGATATACTTTGAATCATTTCGGATATTATCGGCATAACCGTAAAGAAAGATAATAAGAAAATCGATAAGAAATGATATCAATATGCGCGCGATCAGAGTAGTTTTATAATAATTTCCTAAAAGTCGGTTTTCAGGTTTGTCTTATATAATTTCGCGAGCATGTGTAATCTCTGTACGATTTTTTTTTTTTTTTTATCTTTATTACTTGCCTTTGATTATCTAAATATGAGATTTATCCGAGCAAAAAATATTATTTCTTATAGAAAAAATACCAATGTTATTTTTTTAAACGTAATAATGTAAATAATGTAAAACGCAAATTATAAATCGTTTTATAAATCTACGTTTCTAAGTTAAATTTTTTTATATACATTTTATATAAATATAGATAATATAATTAAAGAATTAAAGGGGGAGGAACGGCAATATTCATATCAGACAAAAGTGGACAATCCAATTTTTAATTGCGATTCAAGATAAAAAATTAATGGAAATTATGTTTTTAGTATTTTAGTTATTATAGCTGCAATGTAATTTATAATTTTTAATATAGCACCAAGTTTGAATTGTCCATTCTAGTTTCATATTTACATTGATTCGCTTTTTCCCTTGAAAGCTTAAAGCTGAAAACTCAAATAAAACCATTGTATAATTAAATTTTTATAGTGAAATATTCAAATCAATTTTTCTCGTTGTCTAGGAAACGTTAAGTATTTTTCTCTAAGATACTTTTCGTATTTTCCATAGCAGTATTATTAGCTCACTCTTTATATACTACAAAAAAAAAAATAATGTGTGTTCAAAATATTAGATTTTATGAATAAAGCATGATTTATTCCATTTGTTCTCTTAATCGTTTTCTTGTCTAAATGCACAACGTCATGTAATAGAGTTAAAAAAAACAGCTCGTAAAATAAAAATTATTTATTATCAGCAGAAACGACGTTGAAAAAGAGATCCAATAGATACACTTGTTATGCATTAATGATAGCCGAAGCAATTGTATAATTGAATAACATATATCCCAAAATATGGAACGAAACAAATCACTTTAGAAAGAAAAAAAAAGTCACATAGTTTCCACAATCGACAAAGACGTTTAAGTACATCTAACACTGCGTGTTTGTATCTGTATATAATCTATACAAATCTGTAATTGGCGAAACTCTTACCATACGCATCCGTTAATCGCCGTCAATTGATTTATCATACATACCTAAATTGCGTTAGCATGTGTGTGTGTGTGTCAATAACAAAACTATCATATAATACAAAGAAACAAAGTTATCTGCACCTTTTGCGTCTCCTCCTCCATCATCTGGCGCACATATTATATATATTTACCCGTATTTACAATATATCTATCATTACATAATAATAAAACCGTTTCTCAATTGTGTAACATCAACGTGTTCTATTTTTATTAATTCTAGCTTGGTAATGTAATTTGTCCTTTATATATTCTTTATATTGTGCACCATAAAGCTTTCCAATTAGATTGCTCTCCATCTCCGCAAATATTGGCGGATTATGTGCTCTAGTACAAGCGACAGCGGCAGTAGTGCAACCGCGAACGGAATAAAACAAGTCCATAAATTAAATAACATAACTGGTAAATAATCGTGTTATTTACACAATTCGTAGTCAATATTATTTTGCACAACATAATTACACTATTGTAATCTCGAATGTAATCATTAATATTTTGTGTTAATTTTCTCAAATATGTCGTTTAACGCAGAGGCGTGATAGTCCCTAAATATATTTTTTACATAAATTTTAACAGATATATAACACGATTAGACTATTTCATTAATAGCTATTGAGAAGTAAGAATCTAAACTAACAAGATGACTTTCGTTGTAATCGTAATATGAATACAAAAAATCCATTTTTATAAAGTTATATAAATAATAAATCCTGGATAGATTGTATATTTATGTACAAAAGTATCATATATCTTTCTCTCTCTCTCTCTCTCTCTGTCTCTCTCTTTCTTCATTGTATGGAAATTTGCATTCTTTTTCAGTTTCATGTAAGTATTTATGGAAAGTTTTCTGTATGTATCATTAATCCATGAATATTGCACTTCAAGCAATCTAATATTGCCACGCGAAATAAAATCTAAATATTAAACATAATATCTAAAGATGTATGTTACATAAAAATTTAAATGTCTTTCATTAAATTTTATCGTTCAAGAAATTACACTTATTTATGCGTTAAGTTTGTAGACATTATTAATGATTAAAATTTTTCGAAATAAATCTATGCAACTGGTCAGGAATATAGAATATGAGATAATAGAAAACATTTTTAAAAATCGATAAAATTATGTCGAAAAACACTAGAGAAAAACGTGAATTCTAACATCGACTGCCATCCGTGTAACTTATAAAAATGCGTATAATGCGAGCCACGTATTTACACAGCCACATCGTAATCGGTTCGGTAGTTAAAATATTTCCATTACATACATATCTGTATTTGAATACAGTTTAATCCTGAAGCGGAAATTGCATGGCACAATAATTGAGATTATTTTATCGATTGCAGATCATAAAGCTTTCGCGTTATAAACGTTATTCTCTCGGCCATTCTCGCGTAAACAAACTCGCATTAACCTTTTATCACAATATACGTACACGTATTATTATGCATTGGCATCTGCCATGATACTAAAATTCCTTCAACAGTCTCTATCTTACACCAAAATCACATCAAAAAGATAATTAATCATACCTTTAGACTGTTCTTTGGTCACCTCAAAACTAACTTTGGTTAATCCCCCAACATTCGCTCAATTTTATCACAAAAACTACGCACAATTATCGTCTCTTTTTTTATCTTTTACTCAAAATAGTAAATAGGCAAGGATCGTCTATCTTCTAGCGAGAAGAAACAACGGAAAAAAGGAGAAGGCTATTCTGTGATCGTAGTCGTAGGAACCATCCTGTTGTTTTCTCATGAAAACGCGGGGGGGAGGGTAGAAGGGGGCAAAAGCCCTAATTTCGTCGATAATACCATAATGCGTGCAAGAATATGTCTATAAATTTACAAAATTCTGCAAAGATCTTACATGAGTTCCGTCTCTAATAGTCATCTGCGTGGCTCATATAACGTGAAAGTACTGTCCACGAAACCAGCCGCCATAGTCACGCGATACTGATGAAAGCTCAGACAACTTACAGGACTGAGGCGTGTACCCATGAATCCTTCATGGAATTTTATCGTGTTAAGATGTTGACCCGATATATTGTAGACACTAATGCAGTGATTTGTGGTGCCACTAAACAAAATCATGTACTTTTATTCATACAAGGAGAGAGAGATTTTATATATATATATATATATATATAATTATCATGAGAAAGTAAACTATCATAAAAAGCACAGAATGATTATTGTAACATTCTATAAATTTAATAATAATAATAAGTTTGTTTTTGCTTACCAAGCGAAAACGTCAGCTATTTCATGCACTGTTAATGCCGCAATGCCTGGCGTTATCTGAATCGTGCTCACGGAAGAATTTTTTCTAAGATCAAAGATCTTTATGTCGCCCGAAGACGAGCCGGTAAACAATTGCGGCGCGGATCCCTCGGATTGCCTTAAGAATGAGCCCAACACCCAACCCGTGTGTTCTCTCCAAATCATAACTCTTGCTTCCGCGGGAGGTAATCTCCGATCTAAAAGTCGCACCGATCCATCACCACAGCCTAGCGCCATTATTGCACCTATAAAAAATATTTAAAAATTAACATGACTTATTTTACATACAATAGAGAGAAATAGTGTATGAATATGTGTGATATATAAATGAAATATAAAATATAATAATGTATAAGAAGAGATAAAATGTGACTCCTTTAAACAACCTGTGCCGTCAACATCCATGCAGGTGACACAACAATCAGCGCCCGTTGGAATATCTTGCTTCTTCAATTCGGTCTCCGCGTCCCAAAGTCTCACGATGCGAACATCGCCCGTCACTGCTAGAGTGAGAGATTTTTGCTCCCACTTCGTGACCAATTGTGCCGTCGCTGCAAACATACATTATTAAGCATTATATATAAATTAAGGGCAAGATAGTGAGCACTAAGAATTTTCCAATACGCACCATTGGAAGTCTTAGTCGCGGGCTGCACGTCCGCCAGAGCTTGCCAAGCTGTGAGTAGGATCGGATCGCGACTTATCGTGCCGCTATAATTCTTCCAAATTCGCACGGAACCGTCATCGGAGCCCGCCATCAACAAACTTAAATCGTGAGAGTTGATGAATTCGAGTGCCGTGATGCGCGATTTCGTTTTGCTTCCTGCGCAGAAGGTCATCTTTGTACCGTTCTGATAATCCCATACCCTGAAAGAAATTTTTACATGTCATTATGCATGCTTTATTATCGTAGTATTTCTCAAATATCGAGCACTTTTTACGGCATGAACAAAGATCAAATACCCAAAGCAATCTTTTAACGCCACAGCCAAATGCGGCTCGAATGGATGGAAAACCAGGACCTGAGGTGACTGAGGACATCTCGCATGATACACCTGCGATTCCATCTTGCTCTGCGGCGCGCGTGATTGTTCCTCTTTCGCGTCCTGCCTCTGCTTTGCGTTACGTATAAATCTGCGACAATCAAGCATAATTGCGACAATCAAGCATTTCGATGAATAAAGTGTAATATTTTTAAGAAACTCTTCTTAGAACTTGATAATTAATATTAATAGAATTTTAAACATTTCTTACCGCCATTCCCGCTCAAGGTACGGTCTGCTCTCCACATCGTCCATTTCATCTTCTAAACCAACGGGCTGAGCGAACTGAGCACAACTCCATTCGACGAACTGGGAAGTGGTCAATGGGGTCTTGGCTCCAGGTATCTCATCCGTCTCTTCAGATATCTAATAAAAATATATAGAAGCTATATATTGCAAAATAATAATGTATTGTGGAAAATGTTTCGTAACATTATTCTGCGATTATATTATCATAGTGATTTATAGTTGCAATTACTAATACTAAAAAATATAAGAATCTATTAAAAAAAAAAAAAAAAAAATACTAATTGCAACTACATGTATGCACACAAATGCAAATGATGTTATTTGTAGCATTATTTCATATTCTCTTATATAACTTTTCTTCACATTTACTATTCTAAGGATATAACCTCTATTGCACTTGTATGTGAAAAATATTATACTTACAACAATACTATATTTACAACAATTTTAACAGACAAATGTAAAAAAAAGAAAAAATTCTTACTGTGTTAGGAACGGGTTTTCTCGTACGACTACTGTGTGGTAGAACTCTCGAAGAACGTAGCAAATCTGGTCCAGAGTTGACAGCTGGTGGTGACTCCCCTTTGCTATTGTTAACAAAAAGAAAATCGTAAAAAGAAAATCGTAAAAAGAAAATCGTTAGAGACAAAATAAATATTACGTCTTATTTAAAGTAATTCTTGACTGACCTTAAATAACCAGTTCGATTTGATGGAGATGGCGGAAGAGATAACGACGAGGAGATTTTTGTTTCGACTACCTCTTTAGGAGCGGAAGATGCTTTCACCTGAAATTTGTAATATTTTATGTGACAAAAAGTCTCAAAATATAACTATACGACCGAGTTTTGCATAACATATTAAACATTTATACCTTATTACGAATATGATTGGTAATTTTTTGTGACATAGCGCCGACTGCCGGATGAGGATCATTGTCGAGATTGCACAATCCATGCCATAATTTCATATATACACTACCGTAGGAGAGACTCGGTAAGTTTCCAAGAGAACTGTGACCTGCAATAAATAATTTCGTAAAATTTACAAAATGTTGCTGTTGTCATAAAATTTTATTTTAATTCGGAAAGAAAAAAAAAATTTCGCTATTATACAAAGCTCGTGCGATAAGCATTATATTTTATCAAAATTGTATAGAGGTGAAAATATGCACAAATTACAAAAATAAAAGATTAATTATATACAAATACATGCAATGAATTTCCAATTCATTATTACCAAGTGACTCGCAAGGTTTCCTCACGAACTCCCAATTATTACCTGGCACACGAAAGAATCAATGCAAGTAACTGTTCAATCCAATGTTCAGTCAGTAAGTATCGGTTGACACTTTTGATTGACTCCTCTTATCATACCAATAATCTGATGACTTACCTAAACTGCTAATGGATGATGAAGACGATACTCTTTTGATGCGATCTTGCGCTCCAAAACCATCGGTCGTATCTACCGTATATGTATTATTGGGCGACAACATCTTTAATCTATCGCGCGAACTAATGCGCCTCATACCACTAAATGGAGACAGAGTTTCTACGACGAGATCCTTCCGACTATTCTCCTCGGCTATAGCTAACGTCACGAAAGAGTTTTCGAAATGCAGTACCATCCATTGAAGAGCCACTATTAATTCCTGCAATTTCGGTAATTTCCGATGAGAATCCGTTGGCATCCGATGCTTAATCGATTCTAAATCGCGATTTGTTAACTTACTTTTCTAACTAGCGGACACATATCATGAGAAACGGTATTAATAAGCATCATAGCGATAATTTGATCGATATTGTTCGCGTGCTCGCTCCTGGTCGTAACGCTGTTTATGAACGTGCCCAATGCGTATACGCTAGCCGCCCGGACCTGTATAAAACATCAAAAAATTTCTTCAAAAATCAATACATAAATTTAATAAAACCGTCATAAATATTTACTTTATACATATATCAGGTGATTGCATGATCTGCCAAACCACTTTTTGACTGTTCGGAGAGCAGGAGCGTGGTCCAAATAAACGGTTTGAATATTTTTTTGTGCAGTCCCAACACTCACGCCTTTCCGAAATTTATATAACATTACATGCCGCAAATGCACCTTTTCGTTCTCCATTTTTAATGATTTCTCTTATGCACAAATGGACTTATCTGAACAATGTCTGACGCTAAATTGACATAAGACAACGTCATCTATTCGGTGTAAGCAACAATTACCACACGAAAACAATAGAACTCCGCCATGCAGTAACTTAATGCCATCTATGAAAATCGGGCACGAACTTATGCAATCATCCAATATATATATAAAATTAGTGATCTCAGTAAAGTTTAATTCGACAATCTACGCTAGACTAGAATAGTAATGTAATTTAGAATTATGATTCATATGATTAGTAATAATTAAAATAGTTGCCTCTGGAACGGGATCCTTTAATAACGTAAATAGTTTTTCATGAGCGATGTCTCTGACGCCACACCATCTCGCCTTGTCGAAATTATGCCAAAGTCTAGCCAGACACAAGCAAAGCCACTGTCGTAGCAAAGAGTTTGTGTCTCCCAATTGTTCCAAGCATATCGAAACGAGATTACCTTGATTCGCAGCCACTTGACCTGGTCGGTAATCATTTACAATACTGGCTAGTACAAATGCGGCCAATGTTCTATGCTCGCTCTGAAATTATCATCAAATATATTTTCATTACGACAAAGTTTAGCCGCCTGTAGGCCTATTCTCTAACTTCGTAACGACGATGTCGTTATCGTTACGCGTCGTTGCGCAGCTGAAACGTATCGGAAAATAGTTGCGCAACGACGTGGAATGATAGCGAATTTGTTGTTAAAAGTTACAGTATAGGGCTGCTGGGCAGTCTGGACACAGTTGCCGAATAAAATTAGATATAGCATATAAACTACCGGAATAGAAGTATCCTGAAGAACAGACAAGAAATATTTATGACCGCCGTCGCGCACAAGATCTGCTTGGCAAGTCTGTAATTGAGAATCATTTATGAAATTAGAATACATTTATAAATCATCATGTAAAACACGTTATACATACGAGATTAAAATATTTAAGCATAGAGAAGACTCACATTATCCACTGCTAGAATCTTTGCCCATATAAAGACGAGCAAGGGACGAAGTTCCCTGGCGTTGCTTTGTAATAATTTTAACACATATGGAAAGATGCCGACACTAAGTGCTAGATTCACAGCCCATGGACCGAGATCAAGAAAACGTCCCAAGAGCTCTAATGCTCTCAGTCTATGAACTTGACTCAATAATACTTGGAGAACGATTGGAAGCTGTTCGGGCGGACTGCGATTTTTCGATCCTAAATTGAGCCATACTTGGAAAGCTGTAAGTTGATCTTCAAAGAATGATGAATGCACATATCGATCTTCGTTTTCCAAAACTATTGGCAATTGTGCCAAACACAGATCAAGCGCCATGTCCCAAGCTTGCCACATACGATGCTAGGAAAATAGAAATTTTGATCTTTTTTATTCCAAATTTAAGAATAAGCAAAATAGTTACTCAAAATTTAAACACATTTGCACATTATAATAAAGAATTTCTTTTATACAATAAATGGATTACTGATTAATTTACCTGATAAGTCGGTGGCAATTTTGGGGAAGAGACTGGCGTGCAATCGTAAGAACGAAGTATTCTTTCCGCCAATAAAAAATTTCTAAAGAGACTAGCAACTAATAGGTCTTGTCTGAATAATCTTTGGAACAGATCTATAAGACAATAAAACTCTTACAATTACTTCATCTGTCTCTTTAGTTTGTATTAACAAACATATATACATGTATATATATATATATATAACTTTTTACCTCTTGGCAGAGTATTCCATGCTATTGTGTCGGTAATAGCTGTAAATACCCAATTAAGCTCGCCTAACATTGTTCTCCTATCAGTCAATTGACCAGGAATTCTAAAATATATACAAACAGATATTTGTACAACTTGCTAAAAGATATAGCATTTAATAATGTGATATAGTCTTACTTGTCAATAAGATCAAGCGATATGTTGGGAACTAATTTAGATGTAGGTTGCATCGCAAACCTGTGCAAAAGAAGAAAAAAATATATATGTATATAACATATAGAATGTACATACACAAATATTCCTTTTTTTGCTTGTATGCCAAATACTTACCAGCGTATTGCAATTTTTATGGGAGTAGTAAGGCATGATGTAAATATATCTGCAGGTAGATTCGGGTTCATAGGCAAAATCTGATTAGCAGCGCACGCTGCTAATTGAATGCAATTTTTATAACACGGCGCTGCGGGGCACGTCATACCGGTTACGCGATTTTGCTGTTTTTCCATCTGTAAAGAACAATCGGTAAAATTACATAAACATTAATTGATTAGCATTTAAAATCTTCAAACAAAATTCACACATTTTTACCTCGTATTCCTTTTCATGTTGGTCGGCAAATTGCTGAAAAGATTCTACAATAATGCCTGCATTGGAACAATCGTATACATAAATACTAGGTGCACCCATCCAAGTCTGTAAGTCATACACCGACAATGGAATGTACTGTGTATATGTCTGTAAAAGTAGATCATCGTTGATATAGATATTATATAGATACAGTAAACATAATTCTTGTATTAACTCTATACTAACCCTATTAAATACCCATATTTCACCATTAGTGGTAGGTTTGGGCACACCGTGGCCATTGTAATGAAACAAAACTCTCTCTTCTTTAGCATTTCGCCTTAAGGACGTACATAATTTTTTAACTTCTTCAACAGTTGGATCTAAACTTTGTTTGTAGCGAGCTCTTGGTTGCCATCGTTCGTATTGCTTTTGCAAATTTGAACCTATAGTCTCAAGAGCTTTTTGAGGACTCACCGATAAAGGATCTGGAAAGATATTTGTTTTAAAAATTCTATATTCGTATTTGACATCGTTAGGTGTAAATTTGTTGTAAATTTATCTTCAAAGCAAAAAAAGGAAATATTCTATGCTGAAAGACTGTCTTAAACTATGTAATTCTATAGATTAAAAATATTATGTTTATATACATAATGATTATACTTTATACACATTGCCAAAGGCATTTCTAATTTTAATTTTGGAGTTTATTATATAATATTCGGCATAAAAAAATAATAGTATATATGTAAAGTGCATTTTTCAATATTCTAGTACAAGTTAAAATATTAAATACAAAATTGTCTGTCATTGTGCTAACATAACAGCATTCTTTCAACTCTTTTTGCCAAATTACTTTACATTCTACTCCTTACTATTTCGAAAAAGTTCTTTAATGACAAAATATTAAAATTGAATCGCAAAACTATTTCGGTCCCCCAAATTCGAAAAAATCGTCCGAAGATTGAACAATCAGTTGGAAAACTTTCGTGAAAATATTGCTGCTCCATACATTGAAAACAATCGAGTCATGGGTCATGGCAGTCACTCCGGCGTAGTACACATGTCTAATCTAACCTCAAAATCGGAATTACATAACTGCGAGTAGTGAAAGAGAGAAAAGATCAGCTAAACAAACGCGCGGGATTAGTTTAGTTTAGTCACCTATCCAGCATTCGAGACGAGCGCAGGGCTGTGTCTTGACGATGTCCGGAGGGTCTACGCCGACGTTCAGGCATAACACCAAAGCGACGCTCACGGTTTTCATCTAAAAAAAAAAAAAAACACGTGCGCGATCATATGGATTCGTTCGCGCGAATCGTCGAGAAGCAACGCTCTCGCCTCTCCTAGATCATCGCGCTAGATAGCGTTTATCGTGATCTCATCTGGCCTCGTCGCAACAAATTGTAATCGCAATGTCTATGTATACGTACCCGCTCCTTCATCCGCCAAGTCTGACTGATACAATTCACGCTCTCGATCGTGGTATTGTGACGAGGCTTACAGAATGCCAATTGCATTTGCCAGTCCTCCTCATCGCCGGCTCGTCTGATCGCGTTGTTCAGCGTCGTCGATGTCGACGATGTCGACGACGACGACGACGACAAGACTTCGTGACAGGATTTCATCCTAGCGTAGCTCACAGACATCGCAGCGCGTTGCGTTGCGTTGCGTTATCGCATTCGTCACGTGCGAGGGACTCGATGTCTCTCTTTTCTCTCTAACGTACCGATAATGTCGCACAAGCCTCAGGTTGCATTCGTATCCGCGTCAACAAACGTCACTCACTATGCGAACGCGATGCAAAAACATCCCGACGGGGCGCGACTCGCCGAATTTACCGCACAAATCGCCATGTTTGAAGGTCGGCAAGTGACGGGCAAACTCCGAACTGATTTTGGAGTTTTGGAGACCCTTGCGGTGACGGTGCGAAGCTCTGGCTTCAGGGTTATCAACGCTCAACGCTGAGAAATAAATTCTCGGTCATAAACTATGCATCAACTGTGGAATCATTATGGCGGAGTACGATAACCAATAGGAAGATTTCCTCTCGCGCGAACGTACCGATTGCAGTGTTGTTGTTCGGGCCGGGTTTTCTCGCGCATGCGTGGTAGATGGCAGCCAAAGCAGCGGTGTATATAA